CTGAACCGCAAGGGCTGAAATTTGAATTCAGTCTCAGAGAAATATCAGTAGTTCACTGAAAAATCGTGAGCCATGGTCAGAAATCATAACGTTGGATAAAAATTGTGATTAAAAACAAATATTTTTTTAAAATTGCCCTCTGGGTTTTGAGCCTGTAGGTCATATTACCAAGTATGGGATGAAGTAGGCTATCACCTATGTGAACAAGTTAATCTCTAATGGTGCTTCTACATGTGACAAAAATGGGCTGTTTTCATAGTTTAACTGCATCATGCTGTACATGGGGGGTGGGGATTTATGATTCAAATGAGTTCATTACATTGCAAACTAAACCACATCTACATGTAGTTTAGTTTGCAAAGTAGCTATTTGTAATGTTGCAGCCTTTGACAGCTTGTCGCCTCCCCCCGTCCCTGCTACAGGAGAGGGGGCTAAAGGCAGAAGTGGTAAGGGACCTGATTTTTTTTTTTCGTGGAGCCTGCCCACCTCTCCCATTGCCAAGGAGGCAAGTTGCTAGCAGGCCCTGAGCTCCAGGGAGCCCCACACCCTCCCTCCACAGCAGCAGTGTCCTCTGGGCAGCATGTGCCCACTAGCAGCTCACCCAGGCAGCCCTGGGCAATGCTGCTGCCACAGAGGGAAAAACCAGGGCTTCCAGCAGCTCACCTCCCGGCCACAGGAGATGTGGGCAGGCTCTGTAGGGAAAAAAAGGATCAAGCCCCTCATCGTAACAGTGATGGAAACCCCTAAATTGAAACAGTGGCTTTTTAGTCATTGCAATTAAAAACCCACTGTTTCAATTTAGGGGACTAAACCCCTGTTACATGTACAAGTGGCCTAAAGTGCCACCATGCTGCCATGCTTTCTGTCTTACTTCAAACTAACATGACTAACAAGCTCTCTCTGTCTTTCCATAGCAATGAGGCCTAGAAACCTACTGTTCTATTAAATGAAGACTGAAATTCTTAGTTATTTTACTTTGAGAGCTGAATCTAGTGGAGCAAATATTTGCTTGAAATATATACTAGAAAAACAGCAAATAATAGAAGCCTCATGATGTAACTGTGAAATTTAACACTGACATTAAAACCGGCAAAAATATAGGCTCTCCTGTCTGAGCTACTTTAGCTAATCTGGCTTGTTACTGTTGTGCATTAGGTTATAATGTCACTGCAATGAAAATTTCTTATGTTCTTTTGCATAAACGGACTTTTTAACTTGATGATTTAGTCTGTAAATCTAGTATTTTAATAGCAATAATTTTGAGGATGGAAACAGACCTCACCTTTCATCACCTTTATACTGCCACAAAAAAAATTTACAGTGGCACAAAGGCCAACAAACAGACATCAATCTTCTTGTCATACCACAAATACCCAAAATGTGTGGTTATGACAAAGTTGGTATCAATTCGTGCTGATATTTAGCAGTGCATGTGCATTTACTTTCTGGTATGAGACACTGGGCAGCTTGGATGGCAATCCAGGGGCTTGAGGGGCCCGATCCCACACACCTTGGGCATTCCCAAATAGGACTGGGATCCTCAAGCAATGGGGGCTTTCCCTGCTTACAGAGATGTGCCTCCAAGAATTTTCAGGGTGTGTCTCTGTAAGCAGGGAAAATCAGGGCTTCCCCACATTCTGAGATACATCCCTGGGATCTCTGGGACACATCTCCGTAAGTGGAAAATGTCAGGGTTTCCTTGCTTACTGAGATGCGCCCTGAATATGCCAGAGGCACATCTTTGGAAACAGAGAAACATGGACTTTCCCCACTTACAGAGATGTGCCCTGGAGATTAGTGGGGGCATGTCTCTAAGCAGAGAAAGCTGAACAAGTGCTCCCAAGGCTTGAGGGGCTCAATCCTGCCTGGGAATTCTCAAGGTGTGCAAGACCAGGCCCTTCAGGCACTGGGAGAATGTCCCATTTTCTCATGGCATCAACAGAAGGGACATCAGGTGATGTGTTTTTCACCCAGACATATCCTGGCACAGCTGATCTACTTAATTTGGCAATGCCTATTTCTAACCAGAGTTAGACAGACCCAAGTCCTTGCATCTAGACCTCAGTTTACTCCAACAATGACAGATCTATTTATGAATTCCTTCTCTTGCTCCAATTCTACTTACATATCAGTTTTAAATATCTCATCTACCCTTCCAAAGGACTGCATAATTCTGCCTTTGGTCCTATCAATGGATGCACCTCCCCTCCATATGAACTAGTATCTTTGATCCTGAACAAAATGCAATCTTCCTCACTTCAAATATAGCTCAGGTACCGGCAGCAGGAGCTGTGACATGCGAGAGGAGGGGAAGGGTTTGCAACCCAGTCTGAACTGTATGCTGCTGCAACTATACTATCAGTACTTGAACTAGCTAGTTTCAAGTTTGGAAGACCCCTGCTGTATCTAGTTTCAAGTTAGATTTGGTATTATCTACATAAGCTGCAGTCTCTGCTGTGACTGCAATGTACACATGCTCTAAGGAATAAGGGAAGGCAGAGTGAGATACAATCAAGCATATTTCCTTAAATCTTTATTACTCACCTGCAATTCATTACCCTGTTCTTTCTTTTTAATCCATGTTTTCCCTTGAGTTTGTGGATCTATCAAAAGTGGGTACCTAGTTGCTTTAGTAACAATGATACCATTCTGAATTGAGAGTTCATCTCCTGGCAGACCTTGCAGGTTCCACTCACTGATCTGGTAAACAGAAAGAGCATTATTATGGCTTGAACTAAACCTCACTGGGCATATGTACATGTGAAATTAAGGCAGAGCAATAAACTTTGGTACAGTTCATGCTGGAATCAACTGTTCCAGGGCACAGTGCCTACATGTGCACCCAGAACCACAGCACTTTGAGCTAGGTAGGAGCAGTCCCAGTCTGGCAGGGGGTCTGAGGGGTCAGTCCTGGACTCTGGGTGGTGGTGTTGGGTGGCAGAGTTGCTGGCTGGGGCATGAAGGTGCTAAAGTGTAGGGCTAGGGTGCAGGCAGCTCCCACACTTTAGCACTTTCATGCCCCAGCCAAACCCTGTCACCATCTACACGCGTGTTTCAGCACATGTAATTACCCCACCATAGGACAGTAATGTCCCCAGCAGTACCATCCTACAATGGAGTTAATAAATTTACTGCATCCTAATACCAGTGCATGTATAGACTGTGACTCTTTCCTATAGAGCTAATTAGTCAACTTGCAGGGAAGTGCATATGTGGATGCACCCACTGAAACTGATGAAGAGAGGTAAAAGAGTGTAACCAAAGCCCTTCATTTTATGGTATGGATAGGTACAAAAAGCAAAGGTACAAGCATTCAAGCAGTTTGTGGCAAAAGAAACCTAATGACTCTACCACAAACACCTAGCTTTACGTAGCAACTTTTCTGTCTTCTATTGCCACATGTAACACTTGTTCGGTGACACATGGCTGGATAGGGGTCCTGCTGTATTCCACAATTCTCCACTCTCTCTCCCCTGCCCTCCATTGGGGATGGAGGGAGGGAAAGTGGCTAGTTCCCTAATAACCTGCCCAGTGGTGAGCTGTCAGGGAACCCTATGGGGACTCTGCTGTTCCAAGGTCTCAGGTCTCTCCAGGATGGTTCAAGCAGCAGCGCCACTGCCCTTAACACCTTGCATGTTCCTAGATCTCCCTGGGACCATGTAAGGGGTGGGGGGGCATAACTCCACAGTTTGAACCATCCTGAAGAGAGACCTGGAACAGTTCAAGCAGCAGTGCCACTGCTCCCCAACCCTTCAACATCCTGGGGATACTTGGTGGACTGTGCAAGTGGTGTGGCGAATGCCTGGGATGGGGGGGGGGGGGGGGGGGGGGGGGGCAGTAGTAGGGCAGAAGAGCAGTTCTGATCACCCCTGCCACCCTTACAGGTTATTCACACACAAGGTTATTGCTGGCAGCTGCTGCCTTTCAGCAGCTGCCAGCTGATCACTGACAGCCTGTTCATTCCCCAGCAAGGGAGAGGGCAGGCTGTTAACGATCAGGTTCCCCTGTCAGCAGGGGCCAACCAAAGAGTTGCTCCCTATTACCCCTTAGCTGGAGAACATGTGACTGTAGCTCTCCAACCAGGGAGCTGGAACACCAGTATGGCTCCATTCTCACTATGCTTTTGTGGCACTGGAAATATTTTGTGCTCAAACAGCACAACTGTCTATATCTCTAGACAACTATGAAAAACAAGAGAGGTCTCAAAACAAAACACAGCCTGTAATACTATGTAAAACAAAGACATATTGGAAATTCCTCAAGAGTTTGAGCTAAATGGAAGGAGGGACTTTTCTGCCTACTTCTTTTGAGGATGTTTGTGTATGTAAAGGAGAAGCAAAAATGTAGAAAAGTAGAGAGAAGAGGCTGGAAAGAAGTATTAGATACAGCTTGAACAAGCACCAGGAGTCTAGCTCTGAGTTAAAGCTTTCTGGTCCAAGCACTATGATGATCATCTTTAGTTCTTTAATATATCTCATGAAATCTATCTATACTTTGCTCAGCAATGTGATATCTAATAGGAACCAGTAAGAGCTTTGATATTTTGCTGTGCTATATTGCTAAGTAATTAGAGAAAAACGCGTATCAGTGATTATTCTTTAGAATCATAGAAAATTAGAGTTGAGGGGGACCTCAGGAGGTCATCTAGTCCAACCTCCTGCTCAAAGCAGGACCATCCAACTACATTACTCCAGCCAAGGCTTTGTCTAGCCATGGACTTTCTTTTACAAACCTCTAAAGATGGAGATTCCACAACCTCTCTGGGTAACCTGTTCTGGTCCTTTACTAACCTCCTTGTGAAAAACTTCTTCCTAATATCAAACCTACACTTCCCTTGCTGCAATTTGAGATGATTGCTCCTTGTTCTGTCATTTGCCACCACTGAGAACAGTCCAGCTCCATTCTCTCTGAACCACTTTTCAGGTAGTTGAAGTCTGCTATTACATCCCCTGCTCAGTGGGCACATCTATACATGACACTATGGTGACATAGCAACATGCTATAGTAACATAGATTCCTCAGGCAAAACCTGCAGGTACGTCACCATAGCAATGTGCTCCCCCATGGTAGCACATCGTTATGGCGACATAGTGCCTAAAAATAACCGTGCGCGGTGAGCACAGCTCAGTACCAGCTGTTACTGCCCTGTCTTTTAGTACTTCCAAAAGGAAGTACTCAATGATAGCACAGTAACAACAGCATGACAGCAGCATGTGTAGATGCACCCAGATTTCTCTTTTCCACATTAAATAAGCCCAGTTCCCTCAGCCTCTTATGTTAAGTCATATGCCCCAGCCCTCTGAACATTTTCATTACCCACTGCTGAACTCTCCAATTTGTTTGCATCCTTTCTTTAATGGGGGGGCCCAAAACTGAACACAGTACTCGAGATGTGGCCTGTCCTGTGCTGAAAAGGGAAATAATCACTTCCCTTGATCTGCTGGCAACACTCCTCCAACTATAGCCCAGTATGCTGTTAGTTTTCTTGGCAACAAGGGCACACTGTTGGCTCATATTCAGCTTATTGTCCAGTGTAACCCCCAGGTCTTTTTCTGCAGAGCTACTACCCAGCCAGTCGGCCCCAACCTGTACCAGTGCATGGAATTGTTCCATCCTAAGTGCAGGACTTTGAACTTGTCCTTATTGAACTTCATGAGATTTCTTTTGGACCAATTCTCCAATGTATCTAGGTCTCTCTGAATCCTAGCCCTACGCTCCAATGTACTCCTCCCAGCTTGGTGTCATCCACACATTAGCTGGGGTGCATTCCATCCCATCTTCCAGGTCACTGATGAAAATATTGGACAAAACTGGTCCCAGAACTGACCCCTGGGGCACTCCACTTGATACTGGCTGCCAACTAGATAGAGCCATTGATTACTATTCTTTCAGCCCAGTGATTCAGCCAGATTTCTATTCACCTTACAGTCCATTCATCTAACCCATACTCCCTCAGCTTACTGGTCAGAATGCTGTGGGAGACTGTCCTAAGTAAATGTTGTTCCAACCTTAAAAATTATTTATAGCAATAGTGGAGATAAAAAATATGAAGAACAGAATTAAGCTTTGTTCATTTGCATGTACATTTTCAAAATGATTTTTCTGGTTATGGTTATTTTTATTTAAAAAGTTGGTGCTCAAACTCAGAAAACTTAAACAAAATGCTGAATGGTCCTTAAAGTGTATAACCCCATAAATCCAGATATCAAAAATCTGGAATTATCAAAAATCCAGCACTTCCCCCTGCTGCTCCCCCTGGCCTCCCAGACGTGGAGGGGGATGCTTGCATGCAGTGGCTGCTGCCACCGTGTACCACCCTGTGCTGGCACTCTGCGTGCGGCTGACACTACCATCCCCACCCCCTTGACCTGCTCCACGACAGACCGCTGCACCTGTTTCAAAAATCTGGCATTTTCAAATTTCCAGCAGGTGCTCGGTCCCAAGCACATCGGATTTATGAGGTTATACTGTATTCTGTTCTTATTAAGTATTAATATCATAATGAAAATGTACATTAAAATTAACTGCATACCAAAACAACAAGATGCTAACTTACCGTTGGTGGATCTACCAGCATTGAAATTAGATTCAAGTTTTCAGTAAAAGGGATTTTCCGGATTCTCATCTCTGCTTCCCATAAATCTTTAAGCAAAAGGTTCCGAAAACTTTGATTAAAAGGCCCACAATAGGAAAGGAATCCTGTGCAGAGCAAAACATCTCCCACAAGTCTAGAAAAAGAACAAAACCACAATTAAAACGTACAACTTCCCTGGAGTTGAACAACCACATTTTAAAACATATAAAAAAGGCAACTTGGTTTTTGGTTGTAGCTGTGTTGGTCTAAGGACATAGGCAGGCAAGGTTCTTTGGGTAGATGTGATAATCTTTTATTAGACCAACTGAGTACTTGGAAAAAAGTTCTTAGCAAGCTTTCAGGCACAGTCACCCTTCTTCAGGCACAGAGTCTCTCTGCTGGTCTGAGACTCCAAGGAACGAGAGAAGCTAAAAGTGTGGCAGGATGTCAGTGAAAATGTAAATAGGTAGAAATTAGAAAAACAAAAGGTAAAGCAGGTAAGGGAGGGGAAAGAAAGAAGAGAGAAAATAGCCAAAGGGAGACAACAGCAATAGAATACAAGGTAGAAAAGAGACTGTCTGTGAAAAAGGAAATAGTTGGAGATCAGGAAAGCAGGAACCAGAGAAGCAAAAAGTGTAACAGGATGTCAGTGAAAATATAAATAGGTAGAAATTAGAAAAGCAAAAGGTAAAATAGGGAAGGGAGGGTTGGAAGAAAGCAGGGGGAAAAAAGGCCAAAGGGAAACACCACAGTGATAATAATACAAGCTAAAAAGACACTCTCAGTGAAAAAGGAAATAGTAGGAAATCAGGAAGATAAAAGGCAGAAAAACAGGGGAGAGGAGGGGAGAAAAGGTACGGGAAAAGAAGAATGTAAGAGGTCAGGTCAGGCAGATACCTGCCTGACCTGACCTCTTACATTCTTCTTTTGTTTTTTCTAATTTGTATATTTTGACAGATACAATACCTGTTAATCTGAGCTCTGAACTCTTTACTTTGCTGAGTCCATCTAACTTTCTCTCCACTCAGACCATCTATAAGCGCAGAAGCTGCTTGCATCTTTCTCCTGCACATTTCCGCATCATTCAACAGGTCCTAAAATTGCAAAGTCATTCTAGCTTATTAAACACTCAAGTTCTAAAATTCAAAAGCCTATATTTACAAAATCTATAACAATATTTTTGAGAATACCCAACTGATTGATTCTTGTGTGTAAATGAAAAAAAAGAGAACTGAGGGAGTAGAGACCTGCCTTGGAAGCCCCCACAGATGATTCAAGGCAATGGGCTCTGGATGGATGTACAGCTTTATCAGTGCCTGGTCCCCATGTTTCAAGCCAGGGTCTTTTATTAAAATAAAAAAAATCCTTTAGGTGAGTTTAAAAACTTTAGAACTAAACCCAGATGAGTAAAATGGTACTGTATTAAAAATGCACATAGTCCCTGAGACAAGAAAGGGGTTAAAAGAGACTGCATTTGCCATTCTAACATTGGCCTAATGCCTGAGAATTCTAATGCTTGTCAAGCAAACATAATTTTTCCAGCATATTTTATGTTTATATTGTCTTTTAACTTATTCTGATCTGACTGAATCAGTAAGAACAAATTAGATAACTCTAAAATTTCTGCATGCAAACAATGTTTATATTAATGCAATATTTTTATCTCACCATTTTCTCCTTCATTGCTGCATCAAACTTTGCCTGCACTTTATCCAGCTCAGCTTGTTTCTCATCTAGTGCCTCCTGAGCCTGAGCTAACTCTGCATTAGCTACTTCCAAACGCCCTTCTTGTTTTGCCAAGTTAGCCTTAGAATGAAGAATAATTAGACAATGAGTGAGCATTTATAATCTATTTTAAATCTACTATTTCAAGCCTGTTTCACTACTAATCAATATGGGTTTAGGATACGCAACTCTTGTTATCAAATAATCACTGACAGTGTACATTATCTTTATTAAATAAAGAGTATGAATACATATCTTTAAATTATTTCCTTTATCAATTTCATTTAAATCCATTCATTTAAATCTGCAGTCAATAATTATGTAATGATTTACCTTTCTGTTCCCTACTATCCATTTATTTATGCTTTAAAAAGTATTCCAATCTATGAAGATATCAGATAACTTTGTGAACAAGACAGAACTATATAGAAAAGAACCAAGCAGTGGATTGTAAATAATTGATCTGTGACCTTGATTATCTTGGAAATGAGAACCATGACTCAGCTTTATTGTTTAGATCTCTAACTTATTTATTTAATTTGTGTGCTCCACAGTGGTGAATATTTTTGAGCTCAGGAGACCTGCAAGTGATCAGTACCGACATACCTTCTCAGCCAGTTAGAAACACAGACCGAGACCAAATAGCCACACAGTTACTGCCAAGTATATATTTATATTAATTATATTAAATTAAATTAATATATTTATATTAATTTAAAGAATAGACTTTTGATCAGTGTTTTGGATCATTATCCTGCAATACTGTTGCTCTTGTATTATGATACTTCTTTCAATTACAGCAAGTTTGCTGGCTGAAGCTCTGAAATCACTGTGCAGATTTTCCCCTACATTTCACTTTACTAAACTTTTGAGAATGAAGTTCTATTAAAATCTCATAAATCTGCAGGCTTCATGAAGGTCCTTGTCAGGTTCTTTCATAGAAACATCAAAAATAATGGTTACTCATCCTACAGTAACTGTGGGCCAATTTGAGCTGGTGCAGTAGAGTAACACAAATTATCAGAAGTCTAGAAAAGAAGAAAACAGTTTTTATTGTAGGACTGCATCCTTTGTTTCAGTTGAAGCCGGCTCTTGAAGGAGTTAAAGTTATGTTAAAGTGCATATCCATAGTGACCTCAGTGTTCCCTTTAATTCCTAAGAGAGTGCAGTGCTGTACCTCTCTAGTTGCTGACAAACTCTATTTGACACCCTCTATAATCGCCTGTCTTTGGAGTATTGGATACTTGCTCCCAATAAATGAAGGCTCACTATTCAGAGCAGGAGTGAAGAAACTGTTACTTACCTTTAACCTATATAATCCATAAATATGTATCACTTATGGGACATGTGTGTACATAGAACATTCAAGTCAGAGATGTCTGGTCAGCAGTATGTGTTTAGTGGTGCATGCATCCTGCACGCATACTTCTTAGAGGCAGTAACACTAGCCAGAGGAGTGAGAAAACTGCAAACCCAAATGGCACGCTCCTCCTACTACATTTTCCACATACACACAAAAAGACTTTCACCTAATATGCTACAGTGAGAGTAAATGAACATATGGATGTTAGGTAAGTGTGTGTGAAAGACTAAACCTGAGCCATACATTTCATATCTATAATTTCTAATACACATCAATCTTCTGTAACAGTATTTGAGAAATGCTTAAATTAGTCTGGTGGTCAACACAGAGATGAGATGGTAAGTTCATAATAACCAGGCGGGCAGTTAAATTTTCTGCCTCAGGTATGAAGAGCAGTAGGTGATAAGAAGTCTTTGCAAAGAAAGGATTGTCTCATTGAAAACTTTAATCATTTCTTTAAAGAATCCATTTATCTACTATTGGTACACCTATGGTGAGCCTGTGGTTTTTAATACTTTTAATACTTTTGCCTGGGAGTTGGTGTGTGTGCTTCTAGAACTCAATAGGTGTTGTTCTTAAAACTCTGAGGGCAAGGAAATTTCATATGTCTTCTCATTAAAACGATTATAGTTCACAAAGGGAAGATCATCCATGGGAATGCAAGAGGAGTGGTGCCAGGAAGATTTATGTTGTTACTGATTTAGATTCTGTCTCTGCTGTAATGAGGGCATTTTGCAGCGATGTTCTTATGCTTATCTGTGGTTTCGGTAGATAGATTTCTCCCTGGGTCTTTATGGTAATTTATCAATTAACTAAGACATCAGATCCAAATTGATAAAACTGTATTTGTCAATTCCAGTTCAGTAGTTCGAGGTCCGTGTTCACAGACTGGAGGTGGAATATACCTGCCTCAGAAGTCTGTGAAGTGTGGGGTATTCTTTTAAAGGACAGACTGTAGCCTGCAGTTACAACAGCCTGGCTGACACTAATTAGGTTTGGCTTCCATTTGCTGTGCTCAGATCTTATGAGGTCCAACTTTTTTTGCTCCTTGTTTTAAAGTGTAGATTTCTGATGTCCCAGGCAAGATCATTTATGGGTTGCTGACACCACCAAATAATCTGGTACTGGGTCAGTAATTTACTGATAACCATTTTTTGACAACAGTAGAAAGCCACAAAGTGTACTGAGTGGTTAAATGATAAAGTCTGACTAGTATTGACAGGAAGTGAGAAGGAACTGACAGGTGGATTGGGGAAGCCCTATCCTTCTGTATTCTCAGCTGGAAATATGAAAACATTCAGGCTGTGTCTACTGCCTCAGAGCGTACCACTGACTAAAATCTCCAACTTGAGTACAGACAGTGCAAGCATAGCAAGAGTGAAACATTGAGGAATAATCAATCAAAGAACATTTTAGTTTAGTAGATCCCATTCAGATCCTGCAATATTTTAAATAAAGATGACTAAGGAAAAACATGCATCTAATTTTGTCTGGAGATAAAACAATTTTCTTAGGCTTGGGGCAATATTTCTCTATTTTGTTTGGATATTACTATAGAGAAGGCTACTGTCATGTATTCAAATGGAAGATCTATTTTCAGGTGTCTATCCCTAGTCTTATACCCAAATTGGACTAAAGCATCCAACTTTATTTTAATTAACCAAAGAGAAGCTCAACCCTAAAGACTTTGAAGCTGAAGGTTCCTTGATACTCTATACTGTTGGGGAGGTTTCTATGCAGCAGACTGACTGGAAACCTGGATTGGATTCAAGATAGTTAATTCTATTGACCTAGAAGTCAGAACAAACGTAATGCTATGCTGAACTCTATTATACAAAATGGGTAAAATTAACATAGTAAATTGATGCTTCAACCTCGAAGCCATTTGTCAGGAGACAATGCTACTGAAGCAGCACATGAGTTCAGAAATTCAACAGCCACCAGAAGGCTTCCTTAGGCTCTGCCAAAATGTGATGGAAATCAAATGTCTTCTTTTCTCTTTTTCAGTGCTTTGGAGGTGGAATAAAATCAAGTAGCTCAGGCAAGGAAAAGCAAACTCATCTACACAAATATGATCCCAATAAAAAGGATTTTGAAGTTTTATTTCCTAGTGCACTCACCCCCAACTGAAAAATATGCCAGACAGACTCTAATAAGGGAGTATCACAGCATCCTAAGCACAAAGTGTACTGCCTATAAGATATTTTTGTTTGCATAAAATGCACCTTTTAAATCCTAATTTCTTACTATTTTCAGTCATTATGATTTGAAGATAACACTGAGAAATAAAGGCTTTAACAATAAAATTGAATAAGCATTAGTAAACTAAGGTAAACTGCATTAAAAACAAGAGAAAGCCTTCTATTTTTTGAAAGGGACAGGAAGAAAGGAGAAAGTTTCTTGTCAAACACCAGCAGTTCCAAGATCAGTTTTATAGACAACATTTTCCAGTACATTTTTGCTAAAACCAAAACAGTATAGCTATTAACTACTTTATTAACATATTAAAAACAAGAAGTTGCTTTTACCTTAAGAGGTAACACTTCTCTGTTAATGCTATAAAATATTGCCATGGCTTGTGTCCAAGATAAGAGTCCTGCCACATTACCACAGACCTTTTTACCATGCTCCAAAGTATAGTCTTCCATGTTGAAATAAGGCTGTAATAATTCTACAGTCTCCTCATTGATACTGTCCTTAGGAAATTGCTGGAGAGACTGCAGAAATGGACCACTCATAAGCTATAAAAAGAGAAAAAATAAAACTTTAGAACATGTGTTCTTATTCTTTATTAAATATCTCAGTCTTCTACATTTAAGTATTTGTTATGGAAAGATGCTAAAATATTTTTCTACAAGTAGCAAACTGGTACAGCTAATAGCAAGAGAGCAAATTTTACTGTTCTAATTACTCCTAAATGTTTATATAATTTTCCCAAGAGTTTTAAGAGTCTTTTTGCAGTCCCATTTCTGGGATGTTGTCCTCATTGTTCGGTTCACAGAATGCTCTCTAAGAAGGTCTGTGTGGGGAGGAGCTCTCTCATGGTGCTGAACAACTGTCATCCATGTCCATTTAAGTGCAATGATCCAAACAGCTTCAGCTCCTCCTTAATTACAGAATCTGGTCTGTGTAGAAAACTCAAAGGTAGAGGAGAAAAGTATGCTGGGAATACGAGCGCAAAGATTCAGCTCTTCAAGTAATGAAGATTGCGCACCTATGACTGGAGTTATTCAAGAAACATCTATATATTCATAATCATGGTATCCACAGGTGGTAGATTTGATTGGTGGAAACATTTCCTAAAATTGCACATCGGAGCTGCCCTTCCTCTTACTGTTCTTGAATACTTCGAGAGAGAAGTTAAAAACTAGATGGAGTACTAGTGGTTAAGCAGTGTTATGAGGAAAAGAAGAAGGCAGCTCAGGAAGGGTAGGGAGTTTGAATGTATAAAATCCATTTTGCAGAAATTCAGTTACAGGTGTGAATTTTCATTTCTTCCTCAAGTGGTTTCTGAACACACTCTCAATATAGGTTGACAAACTACTCTTCATATTGTGGACCAGGAAGTCCTAGTTCAGCAACAAGGGTAATACTATAAGAAAATGAGCTTTTGATCCAAAGCTAGAGTTAGTCAGTAGCAGGGACCCTGTTTTTTCCTCTGTTTAAAAATCCCAAATTCTCTAATAAACACCCCCAAATCCACATTTTCCACAATTAAAATGAAACACCTATATATATATATATATATATATAGGTATCATTTGAACACAATATTTTATTGATATATTTACAATTTTAAAGCAATTTGGAAGCCTACCAGTGCCTCAATCATTATAATGAAATACATTCTAAATACGTATGTATTTTGGCATTTGATTTGGGGGGGGTTTCATGGGAAATCAGAATTCCCTCTGTCCCCTTCACTCACCAGGATGTGCGTCAATTTGTGGCTGTCCTCCCCTTTGCTTTGTGGTGCTGAGCAGCCCTGACATGCTGGTGCCCTGCCCCTATCAATGCTCCTGCCCCACACTCCCAAACCACAGCCCCCCACAGCCTGCTGGCACCCCTCACTGCTGACTCACAGCCCCCTGGCCCTGCTAGAGCCTCTCACTCCAGAGCCACAGACCCCCAGCCCTGATAGTGCCCCTCACCCCCAACCCACTGCCCAGTGTGTAAGGAA